CTTTTTCATAAGAACACAGTATTTGTTAATGAATCTGTGTTAAAAGTGTGAAACTCAAACATTCTTAATGGGTTTTGTTTTTTAGTTTTTAATATATATTTATTTTTGGGAGAGACAGGGTGCATGTGGGGGAGGGGCAGAGAAAGAGGGAGACAGAACCTCATCTCCAAACTGTCATCACAGAGCCATAGGCAGGACCGAAACTCAGGAACTGCAAGATCATGACCTGAGCCCAAGTAGGACGCTTAGCTGACTGAGCCACCCAGGTCCTCCTATGACTTTTCAATACATTAAAAGTCTATAAGGAAATTTATCTTATTGGAAAACGCTTACATTTTATTGTTATTCCTTATTGTATTCCCTGGCCCATTTAAAATGTTATCATTTCAAGTATGCTGTTGAATTTAAGTAAGCATCTTCTTCTATGATTATAATTCTTTTTCAACATCTTTTTATTTATTTCTGAGAGACAGAGAGAGACAGAGCTTGAGCAGAGGAGGGGCAGAGAGAGAGAGGGAAATGCAGAATCCAAAGTGGGCTCCAGGCTCTGAGGTGTCAGAACTGATGCCAACTCGATGCTGGGCTCGAACTCACGAACCATGAGATCATGACCTGAGCCGAGACTGGACACTCAACTGACTGAGCCACCCAGGTGCCCCGATTATAATTCTTTTTCAAGTTATGACACATTACATAAATTAGAATGCCAAGAAATCCATTGTGCACATCCAAATTGAAAACTAAGTATTTTTAATTAACAAAGGAGATAAACATGAACCATAAAAGCATAAGATTATATAATTCAAAGCCATTCATGGCTGCAAAAATAACTCAAATACATTCCAGCATTAATTTCCAATTCTCATGTCTTTAATGCATCTCATACCCCAGTGTCACACAACTTCCTGGGATTCATGCAGCCCTGGTGCATCCCATACTGTCTCACTTCTGAATGGCTCCTTGATACTAACAGAAAAAAAAAATTGATGTAATATGGCTAGAATAATAAGGGGATCCCTGTGCTTATGATGGTAGCCCTCCTTATCCTCTTTCATTTCTGTAGAAATTCTGCAACCTATTTTATTTTACTGTAGAAAGCACTAAGTCCTTCCCTTTGGTGTACATCAGAATTTTCTGGAGGGTTTGTTAAGAATGCATTTGTCAGGGCCCAATCCTATTCTGATCCAGAATGTTTAGGATAGGGCTTGGAAATGTGAATTTTCATTATGTGCTGTTATTAGTTTGCTTGGGCTGCCATATCAAATACCACAGACTGGGTGGCTTAAAGAATAGAAATTTAGGAGCACTTCGGGGGCTCGGTTGGATGAAGGTCTGACTTCAGCTCAGGTCATGTGCTTATGAGTGTGAGCCCCACATTAGGCGATGCTATCAGCCTGTCGGTGAAGAACCCACTTCTTCGGTCCTCTGTCCCTCTCTCTCTACCCCTCCCTCCTTGCACTCTCCCCCCACCTCCAAAAAAATAGAAATTTATTTTCTCACAGTTCTGGAAGCTAGAAATCCAATATCAAGGTATCAGCACAGTTGGCTTCTCCTAAGGCCTGTCTCCTTGGCTTGTAGTTAGTCACCTTCTCCCTGTGTCCCCATACGGTCTTTTCTCTGTGCACACACGACCCTCGTGTCTCTTTGTGTATACAAATGTCCTCCTTTTAAAAGGGTACCAGTCATTGGATTAAGGCCCAGCTTAGTGATCTCATTCTTGCTTAATCATCTCTTTGAAGGTCCTATCTCCAAATATAGATACATTCTGAGGTCCAAAAGGTTAGGGCTTTAACATATGAATTTTGGGAGGATACAATTCAGCCCATAACACGTAGCCTAGTGTTTCTGAGGCAGGTGGTCCAAGATTCGTATTTAGACAAACCCTAATTCAGACTCTGTGTAAGCTAAATGTGCACACTCACCTCTGTCCCTTTGTTTTCTGTGGCTTAAAAGATGTAGTCTCTTCTAGGAGGGTCTTGCTATTTTATTCCTAAAAAGATATCATTTGGCTATCATTTGGCTTTCCATCCTTACGGTCTACCCTAATTACTCTTTAGCAAAAGCAAAGGGGGACTTCCTTTCTGCAGAACCCTTAACTATGAAGAGGGACTCCGCCTAGGACACAGATTTATCCATGAGTTTAACGCTAAACCACTTTTTTCCCCCAACTAGTAGAACTACCTCCCCACTCCAACATTTCAAGCTCTCCCTGGCCTATCCATATGAATTCTCCTAACAAAAGCTGCACCCCTCTTTCCTTCTATTATATGATTGTACTTGCATTCACACTATCTCCTACCTTCATGCTTTTCCTCACTCACTGTCCTCCAGTTAGTTGTAGCAGCAACGGCCAGGGTGTGGGCAGATGTAATGTTGAGTCACTTTTACATTTGTGCCCTAGGTCTCTGATCAAATTATCCCCATCATGGGAGCTCCGCCACACCATACTATATAGAATAACCTCTCCCACCCAGCCTGTTGATCTCTGTCTCCTCTGCTTTGCTTTTTTTCTGCACATGCATTATCACTGGTCATAATGTCTGTTTTTCCACCACTAGAGTGTAAGCTCCACTTTGTTTTGCTCACTGGTGTATCCCCAGAGTGCAGAACAGTAACCCAGGAAAATGAGCATGTCCTTGAGGGGATCTTGCATGTCTTTTGTGAAGTAAAAAGCAGGGTTTTCTGCTGAAAGGGAACTGGGGAGGTGGAAGGGCAAGCAGGCCTGAGAAGAATTCAGGTCTGAAGATCTTTAATGGAAGATGGGAGAGGATTAGAGGAAACTCAAAAGCGCTGGCTGGGCAGGGTTCAAAACCCAGCTAAAAGTGGAGCCCAAAAATGTCTCCTACCTACACTATTGTGTGATGTTCGACAACTCTCACAGCCTGGAGAGGAGGAGAAAATGCAAAATGGTTATTTTCATTCTACCATTACTCCTCGGCATAACATTTTCGGCCATTTGCAGTAAGCCCCTATTTACCTTTCCTAGTTACTCCTCAACTATCCCAAGTTTCTTTTTCTCCCTTAAACTCTTAATATCTTCACTTTGAGAGTACTGTTTCCACTGAATTCCCAAATTTCCCCTGGCTAATTTTTGTCTTTCAAGACTCCACTCAAATATTATATTTTGAAAATGTTCCCGATTGTGCTATGATCAAGAAGATGTGGTTTATCTATACAATGGAAAACTACGTGGCAATGAGAAAGAATGAAATCTGGCCATGTGTAGCAACACGGATGGACCTTGAGGGTGTTATGCTGAGCGAAATAAGTCAGGCAGAGAAGGACAGATACCATATGTTTGCACGTATAGGAGGATTAGGAGGAACTTAACGGAAGACCGTGGGGGAGAAGAAGGGGAAAAATAGTTGGGGAGAGGGAGGGAGGCAAACCATAAGAGACTCTTGAATACCGAGAACAAACTGATGGCAGATGTGGTCGGGGGAGGGGAAGGGGGGATGATGGGGATGGAGGAGGGCACTTGTGGGGATGAGCACTGGGTGTTATATGGAAACCAACTTGACAATAAACTATTTAAAAAAATACACAATCTTTGGAATACAAATGCAGCTGTCATTTACTGTGTGACTGTGAGCAAGATATAATTTTTGGAGGTATAGGGTTTTTTTTTAGCTTATTTATTTGAGAGAGAGAATGAGTTGGGGAGGGAGGGAGGGAGAGAGAGAGAGAGAGAGAATCACCAGCAGGCTCTGCACTATCAATGCAGAGCGCCATTTGGGGCTAAGTCCCATTAACCCTGAGATCATGACCTGAGCAGAAATCAAGAGTCAAGCACTCAACCGCCTGAACCACCCAGGTGCCCCAAGATATTAAACATTTTTATCCTTTAGCGTTCTCATCTGTAAAATGGCTACAATGATAAGACCTATTTCAGAGACTTGTTTGAAAAGATTAAACAATGTCCCCAAATGTCTGGCATGTAATTGAACAGCAAATGGTGTTATTTGTAATAACCTGCATGTCTCTCTCTTGATATAAAGCCCTAAAAGCAGAGATGATGTCATGTTTTATATTCTTAGTATTTGACGCTGTACCTGGAATAATGTAGATTCTCCAGAATTGTGTAATCAAATTAATGATTAATGGAATGAAATAAGTAGTTGAAGACGCTACTAAGGTTATGAGTTTTTTCCCCCTAAATTAGAATTACAGCAAAGAAAGGCCAGCGCTTGGGAACGCACACAGATCAAACGAGCAAAGAACAGGCCGCGTTGGTAATCTAAACAGAAGAAACTTTCTTCAAGAAAATAGAATACGCACAGAAAAATAAAACACTTGGCGAAACAGACGTGGACCTTGTACGCTTGGAGCTTACAGTCGGATACAGTGTCCTACCAAATACCCAATCCATACCTATTACCACATTTACAGAGTTTCGGACCTTCTGCCTCTCGCCCCCAATAGAACAGACTGAGAAGAGCGGTTTTCAACTTTGAATCTTCAGCACCCAGTAGAGTTTAATACTTGGAACCCGATAAACATTTAGGGATTGAATGAATGGCACAAAAGGAAGCAAAGCAACTAGTAGCCGAAGTGCAACAAGAGATATGTTACATTCTCGGAGTTCCACTCCACAACGCCAAGAGGCGAACTCGCTCGCCCCAAGGAGCAAGCTCCCGATGCCGAGATCTGAGGTTTCCCACCCCAGAATGTTCTGGGAAACAGGAGCGAGGAGCATGACGGAAAGGCATATTCTTTGGATTTCAGCGATTCCGGAACCTGGCTTGAGGAAATATCCACAATCCTAAAGGCACCGCGTAACCTAAACCTCCACAGAGCGGACATCACCGCTCCAAAACCCACTTGACCAAGTCCGCGCGAGTAGGCGAGAGAGGCTCGCGGCGATTCTAAACTAGCCAATCCCAACTGCCAGAATCGGCGGCGCGGTGTCTTCTGGGATCTGTAGTCCCTCGAGTTTAGGGTTTCCGGCTGCTCATGACTACAATTCCCGGCGGCCACTGGGCTCCAAGGTCGGTCCCCTTTCTGGAGGCGGAGCCCAGGGCGATCAGGGGCCGGGCCCTCGCCCCTCCCCCACGTGGCCGGGAGTGGTGCAGGCACCTCCGGAGTGGCAAGTTCCCACGTGTAGTGCGGGGCAGCAGGCTTTGGTCCTTCCTCTCTGATCTCCAAGGCCTGTAGGTCTGCGCCCGTGGTGATGCCGAAGGTCAAGCCGAGGACGAGCGGCCGCCGCCGCGATCGACTTAAACAGAGCCAGGAGCTGAAGAGCGCCGGAGGTGGGGATGGCCGGGAGGGGGCTATGCTCAGGTCCGATCACCAGGCGGGACCTGGTCGGGGGCGCAGACCCAGATCCGGGCCGGTACTGTGGAGCCGGTGGCGCGGCGATGCTGAATCGATGGCCGCAGGCCCTGAGCCGCCTCTGGCTTCCTTTCCTGCAGAAGGGGTGGACGTAAAGTAGGATGTCACCTAAGCTCCTAGCATGACGTTTCGCGACTCTGGTTGGCCCAGAAACCTTCCCCCAAGCATCCTGCTTTCTTCTCTGGGACAGTCTAATGTCTGCTTTTCGTTGGGAAATTAAGGCTCTTTCATGTTTCCTTCCAGGACTCATGTTCAACACGGGGATTGGGCAGCATATTTTGAAAAATCCTCTCATTGTTAACAGCATTATCGATAAGGTGGGTGTGGAAGAGGAAAATGAGAGTTGTTGGGTTATTGATTTTGCTCTTAGGAATACTTCAGCGCACAGAGGATGTTTGTCACAAAACAGATGTCCTATAAATAGTTGTAGAATGAATGGAAGAACTGTCAAGGATTCACAGGCTGTCTTTGGCATGATTTGCTTCATTCTTTGGGTCTGGGTTTCTCCTGGCTCCAGATTCTTTCTGTATATTATTTACTTCATAGCTGGACATTTGTACTTGTTCAATTCCACATCAGTATTATTGTTCTATACCTAATCACCTTTTCTAGACACCATCTCTCAATTTTTATTTACTCCAGAGCCTAAAAAGATGTCTTAATGACAGCTTGGGAAGTTTTTTCCCCAGAGAATATGGTACAATCCAGTACCTTATATAAAGTCTTTGGAGTATTCCTCCTGTATAGGTTATGGATGTTCTCTTACACTTCTGGATGATTGAGTACTAGACCATGAAGTTTATGTGGTACAGAATACTTTCATGGTTACAAAGGAAGCATCCTGCAGCTATAAAGAGAACATTATGTATTTAGAGGATCTCATCTTGACTTCGTGTCTTTTGCAAAACGAGGACCTAATTTTTAAACCTTTTTGGCTCATGGATTTCCTTTGAGCATCTGATGAAACGTGTGTACCCAGGTCCCTGCAGCTTTGTACATACAAACACCCAGGTTTGTGTACAATTTCTAAATATTTCTATTCCTGAAACTATACTGAGTTGAAAATTGAGAAATGTGGGTACAATGTGCTATGAGTCTCAGGCAAGCTCATCATATACAGTCCTTTCTGTGTTTGAACTTGTTGATTGTGACAGAGGTGGTAAAAAGATGCTGTTGGAATCATTTTTAAGTTAGAAAACAGAACTCATTCCCACAAGGAATTGCTATTCCTGCTTTTCTCACTCCTGTTTTCTGACTTCTAAGTGCCCCACCTTAAAACGGTGATAAAGGGGCACCTGGGTGACTTAGGCGATTAAGCTTAGGTCATGATCTCACAGTCTGTGAGTCTGAGCCCCTCTGTGCTGACAGCTCAGAGTCTCGAGTCTGCTTCACATTTTGTTTCTCCCTCTCTCTTTCTGCCCCACCCCTGCTTGTGATCTCTCTGTCTCTCAAAAATGAATGTTAAAAAAAAAAGGGTAATAGATTTCCACTTGCACTTAATGTTAATTAGAAAATTTTGTTAAATGCACAGATCGTGAAGGACTCTCATAACAGTGGAGTCAGAGTAAAATCTCTTAACCAAATGCTTTTAAACAAAGATAGTCAGGTATACATTAAATGATGTGTTCAGATGTGCTAGTAAAGCTAACATGGTGGTGCTTGGTTGCAGGCTGCCTTAAGACCAACCGATGTGGTGCTAGAAGTTGGACCTGGAACTGGCAATATGACTGTAAAATTGCTAGAAAAGGCAAAAAAGGTAAAAAGGGAATTTTGTGTTTTTTTAAATTCATTTTAACGTTTTATTTATTTCTGAGAGAGAGAGAGAGAGCGCGAAAGCATGAGCAGGGGAGGGTCAAAGAGAGAGGGAGATACAGAATCTGAAACAGGCTCCAGGCTCTGAGCCAGCTGTCAGCACAGAGCCCTACACAGGGCTCAAACCCACGAACCATGAGATCATGACCTGAACCGAATTTGGCCACCCAACCGACTGAGCCACCCAGGCGCCCCAGGAATTTTGTGTTTTGGTATCAGAGATTATGTCAGCAAGCATACCTGGTTTTCAAATAGAAATCTGTTTTAATTAATTGCTGTTATTTTTAACAGCAACCCCTGATCCTTCACTAAAAGCTTTATCCTAAATAATTTGGGCAATGGGAGCCTGGGTACCTCAGTCAGTTAAGCATCTAACTCTTGATTTCAGCTGAGGTCATGATCTTGCGGTTCATGGGATTGAGCCCCACATCAGGCTCTGCACTGACAGTACAGAGCCTACAGGGGATTCTCTTTCTTTCCCTCTCTCTGCCTCTACCTTGCTTGCTCCCTCTCAAAATAAGCAAATTAGTTTAAAAATATATATATGGGCAAGATGGGTGAAAGTGTTCAAAAGATACAAACTTCCAGGTATAAAAAGAGTTAAGTCCTAGGAGTGAATGTATAGCATGGTCACTATAATTAACAGTATGTGTTTTCGGGGTGCCTGGGTGGTTTAGTCAGTTAAGCGTCCGACTTTCGCTTAGGTCATGATCTCGCGGTTCGTGGGTTCGAGCCCCGCGTCGGGCTCTGTGCTGACTGCCAGCTCAGAGCCTGGAGCCTGTTTCAGTCTGTGACTCCCTCTCTCTCTGACCCTCCCCTGCTCACCCTGTCTCTCTCTCTCTCTCTCTTAGGGGAAAAAAAAAAAAAGTGTTTTGTGTATATATATATTTTTTAACATTTATTTATTTATTTTTGAGAGAAAGAGAGCACACATGGGAGGGGCAGAGAGAAAGAGAGAATCCCAAGCAGCCTCTCCACTGTCAGCACAGAGCAGGGGCTCGAACTCACCAACTGTGAGATCATGACCTGAGGCAAAATCAAGAGTCAGACACTTAACTGAGTCAGCCAGGCACTCCTGTAGTTGTTTGTATATTTTAACGTCGCCAAGAGAGCAGATCTTAAAAGTTCTCACCACAAGACAAATAAAGTTTATAACTATGTGTGGTGATGGATGCTAACTAGACTTATTCACAATATATACATACTTTGCAATATACACACAGGTTATGCTGTACACCTGAAACTAATACAGTGTTGTAGGTCAACTATATCTTGATTTTAAAAAATGGAATATTTCAATACAGGATATTTGATAGAGGGAATTCATTACATAGTTGTTAGATAACTAAAAAAATAAAATGGGAACATTGAAATAACCCAAAAATAATAATTTCAAAGAGCAGCTACCACCTCTAGGCTCCAGGGGACAAAGCAAGGAGGCTGCAGTATTGGCTGCTAGAGGATCAGATCTAAAGAGCTGAAGCACGAGCCTCTGAGATTGGGATACTGCCTGGCTGCTGAGGGTACCTTCTGTGTCTCATGGCTGACCCAATTTCCAATGAAATGCATCCAAAATGTCAAAATGGGGTTAAGGGAACCAGTACACATTAGTGAAATACCCTCAGGCCAGCCAGAGCGGGAGAGTTACTATTCAAAGACCTCAAGGGGCCCAAGGAGGGAACTGTGTTACCGGAGCCCAGTAAGAAAGGGAGCCTTTGAACAGGAGCCACTTAGAGTCTACTTATCTGAATGGTGGGGGGTTTTTTGTTTGAAATAGTAGAGTATAAATGAAGAAATATTAATGGTAGAATTGGGAAAAGTTTAATTCCTCTTAGTCATGTAAGAGTTACAATTGAGATAACAAGATTTATACTCCATAATAACCCCAGAATATTTTTTTTTTTTTTTTAATGTAGGTAATTGCCTGTGAACTTGACCCAAGACTAGTAGCTGAACTTCACAAAAGAGTTCAGGGCACGTGAGTATGCAGATTAGAATCAAAGTGCCTTTCAACCTTGTGAAACAATATTCTTTTTGAATTGCTTTTTTTCTTATTATTAGGCCTCTGGCCAGCAAACTTCAAGTACTGGTGGGAGATGTCTTGAAAACAGATTTGCCATTCTTTGATGCCTGCGTGGCAAATTTACCATATCAGGTATGTTTTCAAATTGTTGGGAACATTACATGAAGATATGTCTCTGGTGTGTCTTTCTCCGAAGTAACTCATTAATTCTCTTACAGATCTCTTCCCCTTTTGTCTTCAAGCTGTTGCTGCACCGACCTTTTTTCAGGTTTGTGACAAAAGACCAAAGTTACTGCCATCTTTTTTTTTTTTTAATTTTTTAATGCTTATTTATCCTTGAGAGTGAGAGAGACAGAGAATGAGCAGGGAAGGAGCAGAGCGAGAGAGGGACACAGAATCTAAAACAGGCTCCGGGCTCTAAGCTGTCAGCACAGAGCCCGACACGGGGCTCGAAGCCATGAACCGCGAGATCATGACCTGAGCCGAAGTCGGATGCTCAACCGACCGAGCCACCCAGGCGCCCCAGTTACTGCCGTATCTTAAACCAAAGATGCAACACGGCCAAAGATGAAAGTTAATTCAATTCAAAAACTGTTGGAGACTCGAGAATGTGTTTTGTAGAAAATATCTATTTGTGTAGAGGTCTTTCTTTCCTTATTCAGTTGACATAGTTATTTGGGGGAGGTGTGGTATAAATCCTGCTTCTGACACCAGGCAGTCCTTCCCTGTTTTCTAATACTCTTGCCATTAGTCCAGGTCGGACTTCTTTTATTACCTTACATCTGGTCAATTGCAGTGGTCTCCTAACTGGTCTCTAGAAGGATATATAATAGGAGTTTTCAAACTGCAAGTCAAAAACCCTTTAGTGGTTTAAATTTCTTGAGTCATGACAGTCATTTTTTTAATGACATGGACTAGAGCATCCTGGAGAGCGTTCACTGCATGTGGCCCAGGTGATGATAATTTTATGAAACTTTTGGTTGAGTTACATAAACACACATATAACAGATATTTGTGGCATAGGCTGCAACGTCAAATGTATATCTTAGTCTGACTCATTGTCAAAAAGACTTGAAAGTCGAAGCCCAGCTTTGAAGATGCTCTTCTCCTGTTCAAGAGCCTCCGAAAAGCCTCCCCATTGCTGAATAAAAAGCCCATGTTCCTTACCTGTTATATCCGGAGGATGCCAATTTCACAACGTGCCTCTCCTGCCTCTCCTTCTGTAAGGGTGTTTGCTACCCTGTGAATACCGCTGGGCTCCTGAGAGCCAATTTGGTTGGTTTGGGTTTTGTTTTCCTAGAAGGGGTAATGGGCTTGGGCTTATGGGAAATACTTTCTAATCTGATCACTGAGGGCTTACATATGCAAGGAGTTGGAGGTGCAGCCATTAGAAAATGAAAAGCCAGATGGATCATTTTATGGTAATAAGGCTAAATCTCAAAGTGTTCTGCCTTCTAAGCAGCTGAACAAATTCTCATTAACCACAGATCTTGCACTGCTCTATTTCCCGTCTAAGACAATTCGTTGAAGTTAAAATACATTTACAGTTAAAAGTGACCATTTTCCTTATTCTTTTCTACTGTCTCTTCAGATGTGCTGTACTTATGTTTCAAAGAGAATTTGCTTTACGACTAGTTGCAAAGCCTGGAGATAAATTATACTGCAGACTCTCAATCAATACACAGCTGTTAGCACGTGTGGACCATCTGATGAAAGTAAGTGACTGTTAGTGAGATAATGTGGCTTACCTCATCCTTGAGCATCTAGTTGTGCCTTCTGTGAGAAAAGCATATTTAATGACTAATTTAAAAATGTTTTTAAAAAAGAGGAGGGAGGTGCCTGGGTGGTTCCGTTGGTTGAGTGTCCAGCTCTTGATTTCGGCTCAGGTCATGGTCCCAGGGTCATGAGATTGAGCCTCACATCAAGCTCCGTGCTGAGAGTGGAGCCTGCTTTAGCCTCCTTCTCCCCTTCCTCTTCTCTTGTAGGCGCATACACTCTCTTTCTCTCAAAAAAAAAAAAAAAAAAAAACCAAAAAAACTGTTTTTGAGAGGATTCCTTATTTTCTGATTAATAGGTTGGAAAGAATAATTTCAGGCCACCACCGAAGGTGGAATCCAGTGTCGTAAGAATAGAACCCAAGAATCCACCACCACCTATCAATTTTCAGGTGAGGTTAAAATACTAGGTTATTGAGTAAAGTAGGAGAAAATGACCAAGCTGGGAGATGTGTGTCTTCAGCAGCAAAAAATGTTGAGTCAACCTAAATGTCCAAGTAGGAAAATGCTAATTATGACTGTGTAATTGAGTAGATGGAATAATTGGATGTAAGATCATTGTGAAAAGCACAAAAAAGCATGGAAGGTATTTGCAAAAAATGCAGATTAGAATGCCATTGCAGGGGCATCTCATGGCTCAGTTAAGCGCCTGGCTCTCTTTCCTGGCTGAGATCATGGTCTCCCGGTTCCTGGGACTGAGCCCCACCCTAGGCTCTGTGCTGACAGCTCCGAGGCTGCTTGAGATTCTCTCTCTCCGTCTCTCTGCCCCTCCCTGCTCCCTTCTCGTTCTCTCACAAAAAAAAAAAAAAAAAAAGAAAAAAAAAGAAAGAATGCCAGTGCATAATTCAGTGCATATTTGCATATTAAAGAGTATAGCTATGGGAAACGTTTATCTGTTTGAGTAAGACTTAGAAAACAAGATAAAATGAAGATAGTTGGATTTGAGTAATATTCTGGGTAACTGTTTTTAGTCAAAATTCATGTTTTTGCACTTAGAGCTAAGTTAGATCATTTGATGTAAAACCATCCTGCAGTCGCTTTGGATAAAAACATGATTGCTTATGTGATCAGTATCTGGTGGTAAATGGAGTGCTTTGTTAATTACCTCTTAAGGGTGGTTTAGCTGTGTTGCATAGGCTATATTCTGAATCTTGTCTGTTTTGAATCGTGTTTTTTGAAAACAGTACTTTGATTTTAATAAATGTCATGTTGTTTATTCAGATGTGGAACAATTTTTTTTTGATTTTTAAAACTGAGGATATTCAGTGAAGTGCACAAAAGTGTATAAATCAAGTACATATCCTACTTTTTTGCACTTGTCACTCAGATCACGATACAGAACTCTAGAAGGTTCTTTTCGGTTTTACCTATTAAAATACTTAGCAGACATAGGCAACGTTTGATTTTATAAGAAATGATCCATTTCTGTTTCAGGAATGGGATGGCCTAGTAAGGATCACCTTTGTCAGGAAGAACAAGACACTGTCTGCAGCATTTAAGTGAGTATTTTTCTCATTTATGATATATGAAGGACCAGTGCTGTAGAGACTGTGCTGTTAGAATTTCATAACAGATACTTGAACCCTTAGGTGTACAGATATACTTTACCTTTTTTCACTAACTTGGTACTTTGGGAGGCAGGAAAATTTAACAGAGTTTCTAGGAATTTGCAGTTAGATCAGGTTTTATGGCAAAAGGGGGGAAAAACTAAAAACACATCTGTTTTGCTTTTCCTTGGAAAAATGGGGTAGTGGGCCCTTTCTATACCTGTGAAAAATTCATGCAAGTTTATTAACTTGGAAAAATTTTTTAAGGGCAAAAGAGAGGTTCTGAAAGCTGTAATTTCTTTTTTCTTTCTTTCTTTTTTTTTTTTTTTTTTTGTTTTTTTGAGGTGATGTTTTGTGGAGAGTCTAGAACTCCTTTTAAGAATTTCAGAGAGGGGTGCCTGAGTGGCTCAATCGATTAAGCATCCAACTCTGGATTTCGGCTCAAGTCATGGTCTTGCAGTTTGTGGGATGAAGCCCCACTGTGGGGCTCTGTACTGGTGGCACAGAGCCTTTTTGGGATTCTCTCTTCCTCTCTGTGTCTCAAAAAACATATATTAAAAAAAAGAATTTCAGAGATAATTACTAGACCTTCACTTTATAGGGGCGCCTGGTTGGCTCAGTTGGTTCAGTGTCCAACTCCTGATTTCAGCTCAGGTCATGATCTCATGGTTCTTGAGATCTAGCCCCACGACAGGCTGCCATGACAGCATGCGACCTGTGTGGGAAACTTAAGTTTTTGATTGTTTCATAAGTTTAAATATTAACACTTTTTTAAGTCCCTTAATTTTACCATGTGGAACATAGATTTAAATTTATAATAAACTGAAAGGAAATTATAATCTCTGATTTTGAAATAATAGTGATATCACTTCCTTATGTTATAGGTCAAGTGCAGTGCAACAGCTATTGGAAAAAAACTACAGAATTCACTGTTCAGTCCATAATATCGTAAGCAAAAAAATTTCTGTGGTCTCTATGGTTTCGATTTGCTGTGTTTCAAAATGCCCCTCTACTTCTTACTTTTCCATCTATCATCACTAGATTACTGATTCTATATATTCCATGGGATACTTGAAAGTGATATATAACTAATACAACCTTAATATTGAACTCTAATAGGTCAATACTGCTGTATACTCTTGGAACAAAGCTGAGCAGCCTGGATTACACCACTGCAGCTTAACTCTACAGTTGCTCTTAGACATAAAAAGAGATTCAGTTGACTCGGAATTTTTCCAAAGCTTTAGGCATGTGTAGCTTGCTCAGCTCACTCAAATTATGTACCATTTGCTATGCTCTGAATTGTGATCATTCCTTGTTTGTTGCTCATGTAGCAATTCCAAATTTAAAGTTACCATTCTCTCAGTAACTCTTTTTTTTAAATCCAGAAATTGACATAAGTAGAATAAAGTATAGGCTGAATAGCAGATTTTTGGTTGTGAGCCTCATGCCTATTATCTGTGCAACATTTTCTTTAACCAATTCTGTCTGTGGGTAAACACACCTACACATATCTATATAATTATGTGATATTTGATAATTTTAAAGTTTAAATTAACAGCAGAAAGAGAAAAGTAAATTTCCATTGTGTTTTTTGACTCCGATCTTATATGGCTTAATATGTTGCTACCTTCATTTTCTCTTTTATGGACAAAGTCGTAAAACATCTGCGTAGGTAGGAAAATACTAATAGACAAAGTCATAAAACACCTGCCTAGGTAGGCAAATAATAAACTGGATTGAGAAAAATCTTTGGAGAAAAAAATGTGAGGTATGAAATATTTAATATTCTCAAGGGTTGGAGGTTATCTCTGAGAAAAATTGGCTGGTAAAATTAAATTTGTGCCAAGAAAATGGGAGATATTTTTAAAGGAGTAACAGGTGCTTTAAAATTAAGTCTATAGCTTGATTTATTTTGTGATATAAAGTTCCTGAACCCTGAAACTGACAAGCCAGTATTTTTAAGAAAAAGGGGAATATACATGATTAACTTACTCAGTTTTCTGAATATCTGGTATATATTGAAGAACAACCACAGAACTAATTAGTGGTCCAGTTCTTATCTGCACAAAAAGGGCTTCTCAAACTGTCATAAACAGATAAAGGTGACTATTTTATCAGTTACTGATCTAAAGAAACAAAAAGAGCCAGCGTGACTTCATTAAAGATATGTCGTTCATTTATTCTGAATCTTATATTGATAGATAATACCAGAAGATTTCAGCATAGCAGATAAAATACAGCAAATCCTAACCAGCACAGGTTTTAGTGACAAGCGGGCCCGTTCCATGGACATAGATGACTTTATCAGGTAATTACAGTTTTCTTTTTTCCTAAGGTGTTTACATTTCTTTACTGTGACACTCTCAGATTAGAGATTTAAAGGCTTTTAAGCGGTATAAGGTGCTACCTGGAGTTATTGCATAGCACTTCCATGGCATGGAATAGTATTTGGTGTAGAAGATGGAGGCTAGTTAGCTGCAGCAAAATGAACATTTTAAGAACAGTAATAAAGAACAGTCCGAGCCTGGAGATAGCCTCTGTGTCAATGTGTGTTGTGGTGTGTGTGCTCCTCCCCTTCAGCCTTTTTCCCCAACTCCCATTCATAGTTAGTCTTAATAATGTGTGTCTTCGTAGTAGCCTGTAAGGTAGAAGAAGCATAATGCATATAGTTGGATCTCATTCTTTTTCTCTGTTGGGAATAGCTACTGTTAAACAGATACTACGCATGAAATAATGCCAATTTACAATCATACCTGGTTTTCATTTCTAACTGAGCGGTTTAATAAAATAGTTACTTGTTTTGTAGACTGAGGCAAGTTCTACACACCTAAAAAAAAAGAAGGGTGTCATAATTATCTGGGCAATGCAGACCAAACTTGGTTTTCCTTAAATTAAGCAAGTAAGTCTTAATGAAAGCAGAATAAGGCTTCAATTACCCAGGTAGTTATTAACCCATACTCACGGTTTTCAATCACTAACACTGATTTCCTAACTAATAAACCATCACTTACTGCAGTTTTTGCCTATTTAGCCAATTCATATTTAAAATTTCCATGTTCTAGGAGCTAAATAAAAACTGAGGATAGATTGTTACAAAAGGAATTGGTTTGACTTTTCTGGGCTGGAAACAGTTCCACATAACTAAGACAAATGGGGTTTATAGTTTATATTGGCAGGCTAGCAGAACTACAGAGTCCTTATCAGAGGTCAGTTTTAAGAGTTGAAATTACTCATAAGAACTGATCTTCCACTTTCAGACATTCTAATCCATCTTGAACTGTCTAGGGGCCATCCTGAAAATAATCTCAGGTCTAAATAGAAATGTTTCATCTTATTTTCTTTCCTTTTCACCAAATTTCTTCAAGGTTATTAACCATATGTAGTTTGCTAACTAGGATCTAATACATAATAGGTATCCAGAGAAAAGCAATGTGTAAGTACTTAATTTGAATCTTAGTATTAATGAGCCCAGAGAGGAAAAATGGACATGTAAGATTAGCCATTCATCTCTCTTCAGTCTCCAGTTCCAAATAGCTTCACAAGTGCCAATGAGCTCTTATGCCTGGGTAATGGAGGTCTAAGAGAATTTGGTCAAATTCACCATGACTTAAGACTTATAGGCTATGACAAAAGAGGCATGAAAATGATATGATTGTAACCAATATATATCTTACAAATTTAACTGAAGAATAAAGTTTCTTTAATGACTAGGGTTAGGAGTGGGTGGTTTCAGAGGTGTTTTAGAATTCGTGGTACAGGAATTATGATATGCTACAAATTATCTTTTCAATACCATCTCATTTTGGTTTCTTTTTGCAGATTGCTACATGGCTTCAACGTGGAAGGTATACATTTTTCTTAGGTATCTGGAAAAGAGAATTTTTCAAACCCAAGAAAAAGAAGCTGCAATTATATATTTTTAATAATTAGAGAAGATGAACTATGCTTTTGCTCCACTGGAACACTATGTGCTTGACTATTTTTTATTTTGTCACCATTTATTACTCTGAATTTTTACAGCAGTAAGTCTATTCTAACTACCCAAGTTTTTTTTTTTTTGCTTGTTTTTGGTTTTGGTGTTTTTAATATCTAACGTAGGGCAGGGTCCTGTGTATACATGATAATCTTTAAGAGCCGCAGGCACGCACAACTTTACACTTAAACTTATCATTTCTAACAGTTTATTGTATAAAGATGTTACTCTTCTATTTTCTATGTTATATATTACTATGAGGGCCTCTGTAGGCCTTTGTCCCTCCAACAGTCAAACATTTAAAACATGCTTAACTCAGTAACATATTCCCCATACTATTTCTTTTTATTCATGTGCACAATAAAACACTTGTTTCTTATTTTGCTTCTCTTATTTTTTTCGGTTTATCTTATACAGCTTCTATCACTGCCCACACCTTTAAGTTGCTGTAGCATCATAGGCTACATCAGATTTCTAGATAAGCGTGAGCCTGCTACTGCCACCATGCGGTGATGCCAGGCATATTACTTCTGGGCATGATTTCCTCAACTGACATTAGGATGCTCAACTAGAATGAAATCAACTATAAGAAAGTAGGTTTTCTTTCTTGGGGAAAGCCACTGGTTTAACAAAATGTCAAAGGGTTTTGTAAATCAAAACTATGAAGTTAAAATTCTGCACTTCAGGTTATTTAAAACAAATAAAAAATCTCAATCAGTCATTTCCCCAGAGCTACAGGCTCCCAGTATTCATGTGACTTATGGAAAATTAAAAGTTCCAGTACCTTTTCACATACTGATGCTTAGTTTTAAGCTATTTTTAAAATGTCAAGTTCAGAATTTAAATAGATACTGTAAACAAGTCTTAATTAGCTATGTTTGAATCATTATTAATGTCACTTAATAAAGAATTATAGTAGCTGATTTTATGAGGAAATTAATAAAAATAATTAATAATTAGCTTTTTAAAAACCTAACTTAATACAAAGATTGCTTCCAAATTATTTTAACAAAGGTACGCTGAGTAAACCTAGAAGAGAAGTTGTTTGCCTAAACAGATTTTTGGGAAATCTGGATTCAAAGTGATATAGTAAAACATTCCTATGTAAATAAGATAATTACTTATTAACAGGAATATCGACTTTCAAGAAGTCTGAGAAAGTAAAGAATGTTTAATTCAGATCCAAATAATTATTCTTTAAATAATAGCTGCATAAAGCCACTTTTATATAAATATTAAATATACCTCAAGAGCAGGGTTTTTTTAATATCACAAAACTACTAACTTTGCAAAATTCATTTGTACCATCTCTATCCTTACAGGAAAATTTTAAGAATTCAGCTTTCCCTCTATTTCCTCTTCCCTGGTGAACTGAGTTTTAGTTAGTCCCTTTCCTGGCCTTCAGTTTTTCCTATCTGTAAAACTGAAGTATTAAATTATAACCACCAAGATCTTTTCTGGTATGAATTTTCTACAGACCTTGATCACTGATCAGAATGAAGCCATTACAGTATAAGGTAGCATATTTGAACATAAGGAGACCTTCCAGAGATAGTACTCATCTTATTTAATTAATAATTTAAGAGTAATCTGTTGTGCTTTAGAATGAGCAAGTTCACATCTCTTTATGCCCCTGAAGGTTGGTTAGCCTCAAAAACTACCTTTAAATAAGCAGCCTCTGCAAGGTCAATAAGTAACTGCTCCACTTTCTCTTCTCTTTGAAATAAACACAAATAGAACATATTTTACAACTGCAAGAAAACCTGAGTCCCTTCCAAAACAAAGGTGATTGTTCTGAAGTAAATTATCTCTAAAACTCATTCCATAGATATCATTTATTAATAAGCACATTGTGAAAATCTACATTTAGTTCTAGACTTCAAGTTTACAGAGGAGCATTTCACCATGGTGTTAGGATTTCCCACAACTACTCTCTGGTTTCTATGAACAATGAAGTAGGGAATCTGGCTCATGGGACTCTCTATTCATAGCTTCCCTTTGGCCCAAATGAATGAGCAGTAGTTCCTTAGAGTAAATCAAAATAAGACATCCTTGGGAGATTTTCTGTTGTTAATCTACTCCTGGACTCTATCCTAGGAACTAAGGGAAAACTCCTAGAGAGATATATAAATCTTTTAACAAAATATTTACATGAGAAGTGGCCAGTTTTCTTCCTTGGAGTAGCAATCTGTAAAAATAAGTGCCACCATTTAAAAAGCAGCATACCCTAGACCAATTTATTGGTGAGAATTTGGTGATTCTCACCAAATAATGATGAAATATCACATAATAGGTAATGGATGGGGCTTGGGTTAGATCTGCCTTTTAAGGCAAAGTCAATTCTTTTTTTTAGCTTAATTCTTTTTCAAGGGAGTTATGTACTGTCTACACTTGGCTTAAACTAACAGTTCTATTATGGGCTACTTTCAGTGTACATGTAAATATTCATGCATCAGAAGCCAATTTCCTTTACCAGTACATTTAAAAGGTACATTTTGGGGTGCTAATGGACACTTTAACTTAAGTAATGGTATTGGTAAGGATCAAATTGCACTATTAGTCCTGTTAATACCACACTGGAACACACACTGCATATATATGTATTATCCTAAGATAAAACTCTTCTCAGAATTTCATTACTTTTTATTATACACCAACTAGTTTATATTTTAGTTCTTTACAAAGAAAATGCTAAGAAAATTATAACCACATTATATGGTTTTAAAATCATAATTCCAGATTTCTTTACATATAAGATGGAATGGTCCAGCAGCTATGTCCACTGTCACAGACTTTAGTTCCATTCAGTGATATGGCACATCCTGCAAAATTAACTAGTCACACACAAAAAAAATGTCTCAAATACAGTAAAAATGTACACACAATAAAGGTAATTTACAATGACAATTAAGGAATGTAATTTATCTTGGCTGTGCTTCAGAAATTTAGGGTCAAAAGCCTTAGTCAAGGCACGAAGCAGGAAGAGGTGAGCACAGCTGTCTCTAGGAGTGGGCAAGGTATGTACAATCACTGATGAGGTATGCATGCACGCAAAGGATTTAAAACTGCTCAGTCTTGCTACGAAAATTCAACCGAGTTAAAAGGAAATGCTGTGGCTTCCCCCTACTATTCACCTCTGGATCAAGTCCACAATCTCACTTCATCATACAGAAAATAAAATTGCCAAGGATCTCCAAAAGTAAATCACTGTTTGGGTAAATGAAACAAAATGCTTCACTATTCCCAATCTTGGTTGTGCCTCCTGGACTAGAAGCATTTTGTAGACAAAGGAGTGTTTCACAAAACTGAAATGTCATTCAGGTGAAGGGACAAGACATTTTCCACAGACACTTAAAATTTCAAACTTTCAAATGGCCCTTACATCTGAACCACTGTATGTTACAGTAATGTGGGTTCTGGGGATCCTTTAGCAGCAAATGCTGATTTAAAGGGCACGGGGTCTCTTCGGGTTGATTTGCTTGCTGGCCTGTTCTTCTTCTTGTAGAGCTGCGCGAAAAGATTTCACTTTATCTTGGAAAAAAGAAAAGAACAAGAGAGTAAGTATTGCATTGCATGCAATACAGTATATAATTTCATGGGTCCTATCAAGTCAGCTGTTTTACTTCATAATATTAACTAAGGATCTTTCCTTTTGTTTTCTGTTGTCCAGAAACTCAGAACTGAATACAAGAGGCAACTATAGCAACAGTTTCATTAGCTACAGATAATCTGTTTTTTTCTGTATCTTGAGCAGGTTTTTGTGTTCTGGTTGGCACATTTTACAGTGTTCAATTTTAGTTTATTTGAGTTCCTTGTGGAGTGTAGACAGGATGTATATGTGTGTGTTAAATGTATATAGTCATGTCTAAAAGAACACTGAGTCTTTTTGTTTCTAAGTAATCACTATGCCCAACGTGGGGCTCAAACTCACAACCCTGAGATCAAGAGTCGCATGCTCTACTTGACTATGCCAGCCAGGCACTCTTGAGTCTTATTAAACTTTAAAACTGACCTTTCTTGGAGAGAGGCAAACCATGAGAGACTCTTGAATGCTGACAAAAACTGAGGACTGATGGATGTGGGGGGGAGGGGGGATGGGCATGGAGGAGGACACTTGTGGGGATGAGCACTGAGTGTTATGTGGAAACTAATTTGACAATAAACTATTTGTAAAAAATAAATAAATAAAAAAATAAAAAAAAAACAAAACTAACCTTTCTTTCCTCAATATGTTAAGAAGGTTCTATTGCCAATGCCTACTTTAGTCTACTAAGCTATGAAATTTCAAAAAATGTTTGAATTTTTAAAAAGAAATCTTATTTTGTATTGTAAAGGGGGATGGAGAAGGAGGATTATAGCATCATACATTTCTTGGTCTTACAAAGACAGAATCTTACTGTTATGTATTAATTCAGAGTCACATAAGAATACGAAACAGGTAAACTGACAGGAAAATAACAGCTGTGAAGATGAGAAATACCCTCATGTCATTTCTCTAACAGCGGTTCCCAACCACAGGTGATGTTCCCCACCACCCACATCCCAACATCTGATAATATCTAGACATTTCTGTTTGTTTCAACTGGGGTAGCAGCCACTGTCCAAGGATGCTAGTAAGCACTGTACAGTGCAGATGAAGGCACCCTCAACAAACAATTACCCAACTTAAAATGTACTCATAGTACAAAGGCTATGGCCTTTAGAAGAAGAGAAAAACCTATCATATTTGAATCTCAATTTATTTCCCCTCTTCAGAAGTAAAATGGTGTTTAAAAAATTAACTCTTTTGAAATTTAGAAAGGAATTTTAAGGACTTTTGGATTTAATACCTGCTAATATAAAGATAAAAGCTCTCACTTCTTATAGAATACAGAATACTAAAATTATCTCTGAAGGGTAAAAAAAATCTTTCTAAGAAAGGATGAATACCAAAATAGCTAGAATAATACAATAGCTAGATAGTAATTTCTTCAAAGATAGGAGTATGCTTGATATACATAAATCCTGAGAAAATTAAGGAAAGAAAGTCAACTAAATTGAATACATATTACAGAGAAAAAAAATTAGAATTCATTATGATCTGTTCTGAACAGATAAGCTGCTTGTGACTTCTGACAGATTACAAAAATGATCAAAACGTTTTAAATCAAAGCTTGAGTATGAAGAACACGAAAAACAAAAATAAATTTTAGAAATCCTACATTTTCACAATTCTGAATTGGGTAAATGGTCACTGCTGATTCTTTATAGGTTATGTAAATAACCAACTTCACAAAGACCCTACTTGAAAAACTTAGCCAGTCTGGTGCTAAAAACTAGCTATTTCAATTGGGTTTCACGCTGCATTTCATGTACACATACACAGATGTCCATTCGCAT